CTAACCACAAAAGGAAAACATAAAATATATCCATCCATTCCACTTAAAGCTGAGCACAGAAGATGAGAAAGAAAATTAAATAGTTCTAATTCACTGTGTTCTCTTTAGCTCTGTTAAATAACAGCAATAGAAAAATAGCAACCTCTTGTGGCAACAAGCTGAAATGTGTGGATATCCTAAATAAAAGAGAAAAACATCTGCATGTTTAGTCCATTTTTAATAAAGTATTTTTCCCAGTGTATGACCCCAAACACCTCACAATATTAATTAAAATAGATACAGTTTCAACTACAATATTCTACTATTTTAAAAAGTTTTCAATTAAAAACAAGCATTGAAATAAACAATTTTAGAACTACTTAAAAGCAGAATGAAAATAAATACTGTAAACTAGTGGTTCTTAACCTTTGTTACTTGGATGCTTTTGAACTGCAACTCCCAGAAACCCCAGTCAGGACAGCTGGTGGTGAAGGCTTTTGGGAGTTGCAGTCCAAAACTCCTGAGTAACCCAAGGTTAAGAACCAGTGCTGTAAACCACTTACCATTATTAACGATGAGCCATATCCTATTAATTAGCCTGCATATGTAAATACTGTATTGAACATTCCTTTTTAGTGTCAGTGCTAGTTTGGTGTAGCAGGTGCAGTATTATATTTAATTAGGATGCTGGGAGCCTGAGTTCAAATCCCTGTTTGGCCATGAAGCTCACTGGATGGAATCAGGTTCTCTCCGCTTGACATTCCTCCTAGGACAGTAGTGAGGATAATGTGGAGAAGCAGAGTCACATATTCCACCTTGATCTCTACGTAGAGGAAAAGTGGGGGGGAAATATAACAAACACAATACATTATCAATTTTTGTACTGGATCTCTTTTTCCTCCCTCCTTGACTTCAATGCTGGCATTCACTATGGGGTTAAAATAGGACCAACCCACTATGGCTTTCTTTTTAATTTCAAAGTTCAGAGCATTTTATTAGGCATCTGATGAAGTGGCCTGTAGTCCATTGATGCTTATTTCACATTAGAAGTACGTATGACAAGGTGTCAGAAGAATCATTGTTGTGCTGGAATAGACAACATGTATTACCCCCTGGTGACCAGATTTATTTTGTATTTTATGGTGACAAGAGTCAGTTCTCAAGCAATGCCAATGCGGCAGGTAGCTATGCTAGTCTGTTGTAACAATCTACGTAATTAGTCATACAAACTTCCCAAGCAGCTGATGCATTTATTCTCAGTACTGCACCTAAAATCAGTTGTTAACCCCACACAATACCATTAATTCAGCGGGTCAATTGTAAGTTGGAAGTTGGATATACAGTCGCAAAACTATCAATTTGCTAGAAGGTGATTTTTTTAAGCAATGGTTTGCTTCCCAAAACAATTATTTCTATGGGCAATTTTCCTTGGACAATGTTTAGGTCCTTGCCTTGCAAGACAGTTTTTTTCCAACCCTGTTTCACAAGGTAGTTCCCCCAACTGGAACACATTAATTCCATAAAACCTACTTTTTTATCCCAAAAAAGTAGAGGCAAAAGTATATACTATAATTCTCCCAGTTGGAACACATTAATTCCATAAAACCTGGTTTTTTATCCCAAAAAAGTAGGGGCAAAAGTGTACAGTATACTACTTACTGGCTTCTAGGGTTTATCTCCTAGAAAAAACCACCAACATATACATTCTCCCACATTTTCCAAATTAAAAAAAAAACAGATCTTATATAATTTACCTGCTCCAACTGGGAAGAAAAAACATCTTGCAAAGCATTGCCAATGGGGATACGCCTACAAAGTTAAATAACAAAGAATAGTGACTTTCTCACATTTGGGGACATAATAGGAATTAGTATATCCAAAGTACAAAGCATGAGCCTTTCTCTAAAAAAACCATTTTTATGACATGGTATTTCTATTGGAAAGTATGAGATGGTATAACCCTTGCATCTCTTACCCCATTCTGTCCCCTAATCCCACAAGTCATGGTGACCCCCTGGCTGCACCTCCCTCTCAGTACAGGGCTGCACAATCCCAGTCCTGCCAGAGGCCAAGAGAGCTCTTCAGTGTTTTGGGGTGCCTGGTGGGACCCCTATCAGGGGCTAGGTGTTCCTCCCACAATCCTCTAGTGCAAATGTATTAGCATATGCTAATACCTTATGCTAATACATGTGCATTAGAGGATTGTGGGAGGAACTCTTAGCCCCTGATGGCAGTCCCACAGGGCACCCCAAAACACTGAGGAGCTCTCTTGGCCTCTGGCAGAACTGGGGCTGTGCAGCCCTGTACTGAGAGGGAGGTACAGCCAGGTGGTCACCATGACTTGTGGGATTAGGGGACAGAATGGGGTAAGTTTTCCCAGGGAGATTTATTTGTTGCACTTTGGGTATGCTGTTGATTTGTATGATTTCCCCAAATGCCGGGAACTCAAGTCATAATGTGTGTTAGTGGGAGTTTGCACTTATGATTAATACTGTCTTTTCTATTTTTTTTATTTTCTCATCAGAAAATATTTTAAAGGCAACAAGTCTTGATGATGTCTTGTATTCTATTTTTTTTTCTGTGGTAAAGGGTCAGGGCAAATGGAGTTACCATTGTCAGGAGCTAAGCAGCTGCTTTGACTCCTTTTATTCTCTTTGTTGCTGGAGAGAGAAAGAGGGAAGGCCATGTGAGACTCATTGAATTTCCAAAGGCAATGCAGGAGAGGGAATTGCTTTTCCCCAAGCCAAGATGGGGAACTGTGTTTTGCAAGGTATCTTCTATGGATAATTTTTGCAAGATAAGTGTTTTTTCCCCAATTGGAATGCATTAAATAGATTTCAATAAATTCCAATAAGGAATTGGGTTTCAGAAGACCGTGTTTTTGCAAGACAGTGATTTCCATGGAATGAATTAAAATCATTTTGTAAGGCACCAGACATATGAATCTGTATTTTAGAATATTTTCACATTGTATTCTTCAACTAAATGTTCCCAGAACAGTATACATTATAACTTCACTTATGCAATATGAATATAATAGAGACATGTGTTTTGTGCCATCAAGTTGCTGACCTATGGCAACCCCAAAAGGGTTCAAGGAACATGAGCTGTTCAAGTGGTTTCCTCTTACAATTCCCAGTGAGTTCCCATGGCTGAGGCTTCTCAATCCCAGTCCAAAACTCTCCACAACACCACACTGGGTTTCAAAAATAGCTAATAATAAATAAATGTAAACAAAAATACAATATATATATATATATTAATTAAAAATAAAATCACCCTGAAAACTAACAAATAGGACAAGGTTTTCTGGACAAATTCCAGCAGAGAAAACTATTGCCAGTGTTTGAAATGCTACAGGATTCTTCATTGTTTTCAGTTCTTACAGACGAAAAAGGGTGAGTACTGTATTCTGGGAATTATCAGTAAGTAGCCAAGCAAATAAGATTTGAAAATCAACAAATGTAACTATGAACGGGTGAAAAAGCTGCATGAAGGCAAACACAAACTTATCTGCATTGAGAATAAGTTTCTAATAATAATGACGATGATGGTTAAAAGTTGTGCCTGTTATATAATACCAATCAATGTTTTTATAATTTTGATTGACTATGCCTGGTGTTTTTGAATCATTATCATCATCATCATCTTAGAACTGCAGAGCTGGAAGGGACCCTAAGGATCATTGAGTCCAAGCCCATCTTTTCCAGCGTTGAGGTCAACACTTCACCACTAGTCACGCTGTTAAGCCTTGATACAGGAAAGCTGACCGTCGGCCAGCCCAGCCCAGCCCAGCCCAGCCCATGCGGACCAGCAGATAGGCTTCGGAGGGCAGGGAACTGCCCAGGAAGGGACAGGACGGACGGCTGCACCTCGGAATGACGGCGCCACCGTCCCGGAGAAATGGGCACGGGAGGGCTTGCAGCCCCCCCCACACACACAGCAGGCTTGGGCCAGCAGGAAAGCTGACCGTCGGCCAGCCCAGCCCAGCCCAGCCCAGCCCATGCGGACCAGCAGATAGGCTTCGGAGGGCAGGGAACTGCCCAGGAAGGGACAGGACGGACGGCTGCACCTCGGAATGACGGCGCCACCGTCCCGGAGAAATGGGCACGGGAGGGCTTGCAGCCCCCCCCACACACACAGCAGGCTTGGGCCAGCAGGGCAGGATCAGAATTATGAAATATTTCCTTAGTTGAGAGATTATTATTCACATGCTTGAGTCAAGGGAAGATGCAACTTGAAATGCAGACAAAGCACACTGAAAAAACGCCAGCTCTTTGTAAAAGTTATATAGCAGGAAATAATTCATCAGGTTGTAGTTAGTCTGTGCAAGCATTTGGGGCAAAATCTAAAGTAAAAGCAAGACAAGACAGAAATATGTGACACCTTAAAGATTATTCTATTTTAATGTGAGCTTTCATGGACGCATGTGGCACCTTAAAGATTCTATTTTAATGTGAGCTTTCATGGCCCATATGTTTTTGTCCTGTTTTACTTTGTTTTTTTCTTTGAATTTTGGCTCTTTGGGTTGTACTTTTGCAATAGACTAGAGAAGGCATAACTTAACACCATTTCGCTGAGGCAGATCTGAAATGTTCAGACTTTGTGCTCTGATATTCACAAGCTAACAGTACCTACTTACATTTCATAAAAGGGTGCAAAGTCTTGAGTTCTCCAGAACTCTAATTAGTTATGTGCCATCAAGTCAGAACCAACTTGTGGCAACCCTAGTAGAGCTTTCCAGGTAAGTGAGATATTTGAAGAGTGAGTTTGCCATTTATGCACGTACTCCTAGTGAGTTTTCATGGCCAAGCGGGAATTCGAACTCTGGTCTCCAGAACTTTAGGCCATCATTCTATCTGCCACACCAAATGGGCACCTCTACATTAATTGATACAAACTGCAGAATCCGACAATTTTGGCCAGATGTTACAGTGATGATGATAGCATAGGTAACGATGATTTTTATAAAAAATAATTTTGTTTACCTTGGCTTAACTGTCAAATGTTTCTTTAACAGGTTTGCCACGGTGGATACCATAACAACCTGACACAATCAGGCTTCATTTCAGTGAGAAAAATGTTCATGCTATGCATTGCTATTGGGTTGTTCTATAGTCACCATGTTGGAACAGCATATTCACTCAGTGACAATGGTGGTAATCCATTTCCATGGAATAAAATGAGGCTCCCCAGGCATGTCTTTCCAATTCATTATGACCTTCTGATCCATCCAAATCTTACCACTCTGACCTTTACGGGATTGACGAAAATTGAGATTACAGTAACCCAAGAAACTAATTCAATCATCCTGCACAGCAAGTATCTCCAGATTACCAAAGCTACGATCCAAAAAGCAATGGAAAGCACCGGGATTGATGACAAAGTGGTGGTTTTAGAGTATCCACCGTTTGAACAAATTGCACTTCTTGCAGCTGAACCTCTGCAAGTTGGTAGCTACGTGGTTAGAATTGAGTACGCTGCCAATTTATCTGAGAGTTATCATGGTTTCTATAAAAGCACATACAGAACTCCAGAAGGAGAAGTAAGGTAAGTTAGTCCAGTTAAACATTAATTTTTAACTGATTGGGACACAATATTCCTTCATTGTTTTTGGACATTTTTTTCCTAATCAGATTTGTATATCTTTCAAAGTCTCTTACCTGTCTATGTTTTTCAATCTCTTAAATTATTTTTGTTTGGTTGTAAAAGACCATGAAAGACTTAATGTGCAAAATCTTCTGCAACTGAATCTTTGTAATATAGCAATGCTAATTGCTACCATCCTGTAGCAACTGAAGTTGTACTGCCACCAACCTATTTTGTACCTTGAGCCAAAAGAAGATTTTAATGATGGAGCAAAAATAGTTAATTTTTTTCCAATCTTGTGAGGATTTCTTAAGTGATCTCACATATATTTCCTTCAAGATGGGTATGACCATGTTGACTTTTAAGAAAGCATTTGTAACTCTCTGGACCCACCTATTCAAACTCATCTTCCTCTGCAAGAAGCCAAGATGAGCAAGCATTAGGCACACATACAGTGGTGCCTCACATAACGAGTGCACCGTGTAACCACAAATCTGCATAGCGATTCGGTTTTTGTGATCGCAAAAGTGATCGCATTGCGATGTTTAAATAGGATAAACATCACATTGCAATGATCGGTAAGCGTTTGGCTTACCGATCTTCGCATTGCGATGTTTGCAGCACAGCTGATCGGCAGTTACAAAATGGCCACCGGATGAAGAAAATGGCTGCCCACAGCGTTTTCGCGCCGATTCCTCGCTTACCGAGGCAGCGAAAATGGAGGTCGGATGGGGGATTCCTGCTTAGCGGTGAGTTTGTCCCCATAGGAACGCATTAAACAGAGTTTAATGGTGGGCATTAAACAGAGTTTAATGCGTTCCTATGGGGTTTCTATTTCTGTATAGCGATGTCTCCGGATAGCGACGATATATCTGGAACGGATTATCGTTGCTATGCGTGGCACCACTATAATTAACTTGGCTTGGGACTTTCAGGTTAAAAATAATGAGGAAAAACAAAACTCTAAAGTGTCTGTCTTTTTTTGATTATTTCAAACAGAGAGGCTCTGAAATCCAGTTCATTTGGTTTAACTAAAGAGAGGATTGTGAAAATATTGGATTTCTACCGGATTTTCTTTACCAGATTAATTTATTTGACGTGTGTGTAAAACTGCCTTGCGCTGATACAGGAAAAAAGTGCCCCTTCCCTCCCCTTAAGTGATCTTACATATATTTCCTTCAAGATGGGTATGACCATGTTGACTTTTAAGAAAGCATTTGTAACTCTCTGGACCCACCTATTCAAACTCATCTTCCTCTGCAAGAAGCCAAGATGAGCAAGCATTAGGGACACATACAGTGGTGCCTCACATAACGAGTGCACCGTGTAACCACAAATCTGCATAGCGATTCGGTTTTTGTGATCGCAAAAGTGATCGCATTGCGATGTTTAAATAGGATAAACATCACATTGCAATGATCGGTCAGCGTTTCACGTACCGATCTTCGCATTGCGATGTTTGCAGCACAGCTGATCGGCAGTTACAAAATGGCCACCGGATGAAGAAAATGGCTGCCCACAGCGTTTTCACGCCGATTCCTTGCTTACCGAGGCAGCGAAAATGGCGGTCGGATGGGGGATTCCTGCTTAGCGGTGAGTTTGTCCCCATAGGAACGCATTAAACAGAGTTTAATGCGTTCCTATGGGGTTTCTATTTCTGTATAGCGATGTCTCCGGATAGCGACGATATATCTGGAACGGATTATCGTTGCTATGCGTGGCACCACTATAATTAACTTGGCTTGGGACTTTCAGGTTAAAAATAATGAGGAAAAACAAAACTCTAAAGTGTCTGTCTTTTTTTGATTATTTCAAACAGAGAGGCTCTGAAATCCAGTTCATTTGGTTTAACTAAAGAGAGGATTGTGAAAATATTGGATTTCTACCGGATTTTCTTTACCAGATTAATTTATTTGACGTGTGTGTAAAACTGCCTTGCGCTGATACAGGAAAAAAGTGCCCCTTCCCTCCCCTTAGAGGCATCTGGAGGGGAAAAAAGGGTCAGAAACTTAAAAATATAAAAATAAATCAAGTGTTCAATATGTATCCTTGGAGCACTTTTTTAAAGCCCATAGATTCTAGAAAAGAGTGGCCTTGGCAGCCAGATGGGTAGTATAAAACTCAGGTAAATAAATGAATAAAATAAACTTGTGACAACAGGTAAAATTAAAGGTGTTATCCTGTACAGCAGGGGTCTCAAACTCAATTTACCTGGGGGCTGCTGGAGGCAGAGTCTGGGTGAGGCTGGGCCGCATCAGATTTTCTGCCAAGTGGAGCAAGAGGCTAAGGAAGCCACCCAGGAGTTTCCTTAGCCTGGCTGGGGCTCCAAGAAGGAGGAGGAGGAGGGGTGCGCAAGCCCTTGTCGCCGGCCACGACCCCCTCCGGCTCCTTCTTCACTACCGCCAGCAGCAGCAGCAGCAGGACAAAGAAACGGAGAAGGGAGGGGGTGCCGGTGACCGCCTAGTGGGGGGGGAGGAGGGCATGACATAGAATTAAAAAAAACCCTCACATTCCTGCTTAGCGGTGAGTTTGTCCCCATAGGAACGCATTAAACAGAGTTTAATGGTGGGGGGGAGGAGGGCATGACATAATTAAAAAAAAACCCTCACAGAATCCCCTTGCCAAAGGAGAAAAACTCCCATTGGTACCTGTGAAATTTAACAGAACAGGGCAGGGCCCCCACAGGTGCGTGCGGGCGCATGTGCCCCCCCCACACATGGAGGTCCAGCAACCTTCCTCTGAGGGCCCTCCTCAAAAAAAGGCGCACTCAGCAGGAGCAGCTACCCCCACCACGACAGGGGAGCAAACTTCACGAGGCGAGCCCAGGGAGGGCAGGCAAGGCGGGGGCCACAAATTATCATCCGGCGGGCCGCAAATGGCCCCCGGGCCACATGTTTGAGATCCCTGCTGTACAGTCTTATCTGCAAGTTATTGCCATTAAGAACAGTGGGACTGATCTCTAAGGAAGCATCTGTAGGATTACATTTTTATTATTCATTTTAAGTATTTTTGCCTGATGAATAAATGTAATTCTAACATATTGGGTGGAATTTTCATTAGTGAGCATTTTAGTCTACTGGGGATGCTACTTTAAATGTCATGTATTTTCCCTCTTAACTGCAGGGTGCTTGCATCAACACAGTTTGAACCAACGACTGCACGAATGGCCTTCCCTTGCTTTGATGAACCTGCATTCAAAGCTATATTTTCTGTTAAGCTCAGAAGAGAACCCAAACACCTTGCACTATCTAACATGCCTCTGGTATGTGGTACATTTTGAACTGAGGGGAATAAAGAAGATAAGATATTGCTCAAATATATTGTACACATACCATTTACAAGAGATGAGAACTGTACAGGTGCCCATCGGGGGAAAAGGGGTAAAACTATATCAAAAGCAATGCATTAATGGATAGAAAAATGGGGAAAAAGATGAAATCTGGGTTAGTTATAGTATTACTAGGAAATACCTGCCTTCTGTGTTGCTTTTAGACCTGGGAAGAGGTCCCATTGAACTCAGTGGGACTTAAGTATAAGATTGTCATATTAGTGAGTTATCTCTAGTGGTTGCTGAGTCATACAGTTGTGGCTTTTAAAATTCAGATACCTGACCTTTAGTACAAATATGGAGTGTGTGGAGCAGAATTAATAAATGTACTTATAAGCTACAGGTGAAATATAATGGTGTTTTCAAATTTTAGGTGAAATCTATTATTCTTAAGGAATGGCTCATTGAAGATCACTTCGAGATCAGTGTAAAGATGAGCACTTATCTAGTAGCCTTCATTGTTTCCGATTTCAAATCAGTTTCCAAGATGACCAGCCGTGGAATTAAGGTAAATTTTTCATACCAACAAATGTTTGCAAAATGATGTTGGAAATTAAAAGCAACAGTTTCAATTCTTTATGTACAAATTCAGTTTTTTTAAAAATCATGATGGAACTTAAAGTTTATAATAACTTTTGTTACAGTGTGCAAATAATTAGGCTTGTATTGATGGTTCTCAAGCTGTAAAACAGTATTTTACATTACATGATGGTGACTCTAGTCACTATACAGTATACTTATTGCTGATGAGAGGTTTATAAATTATCTTCCTCACAAAAAGTAATGGTAGAGGATATGGGGTTTTTTGTTTTTCTTTTTTGTGATCATTTTACTATACATTTTATTCACTGCTACTGCATTTTATTGGGGTTTTGATAAAAAGAGGGGGGAACAATTTTAGCAATTTGATTACTCCCATTGTTAGGAGAGAGAGAGAGAGAGAGAGAGAGAGAGAAGCATAGAACAGTTTTAGCAATTTGATTACTCCCGTTGTTAGTACAGCGAGAGAGAGAGAGAGAGAAGCATGAGAGATGTAGCCCAGTCTCATCAATTCTTTCTTGGCACATATAGTATAGCCCTTTTGTTTTTTTTAAAAAAAGATCACTCTAGATACATTTGTGGAATGGAGAAGTGAAGTTTACCCTCAGTTATCAGCTGTAGTTACAGCAAAAAAAGGGGGGGATAAAAATTGAGTGTTCAGTATGGAAAAAGACTGTTCCCACTGCTCAACATATAGTCGAGAAAAACAGAACAGACAATGTATCTGTGTTTAAATATAGGAGGCATTGTTCTGTGGATTGAATTTCCTTACTTTGGTGTTTAGCCTCAATGATAACTTTTTGCTTTAAGTCAAAACGTTTTTTCATTTGGGAATTTGTAAGATAGTGTGTCAGCAACAATACTGTTTTTCTGTAAAGGTGGGAGAAAAGCAATTTTCCAGCTGAGAGCTGACCACACAACACTGATGAGGTTTATGTTAGTTATGATTAAATAAAGTCTCAATCGTACCATTGGATATTGTATTTCATCCTTATCTAAACTTGGCTGTACTGTATCTGGATCTGGCACAGTGGCTGTGAAGGCATGATCTAGGTAAAGAAAAAGCTGAACAGCAGTTTTTCATTCTGAACAGCAGTTTTTCATTTACGTTTGTTTGTTTGTTTGTTTGTTTAAATTTTTGTCCCACCCATCTAGTGTGTCTCATAACATAAATATATAATACAAAATCGTAAATATATAATACAAACTTTTTCCCTGTTTCCACTATCGGTAGGCAACAGATCCATTCACCCTCCTAAAGTTATGTTTTGGTTTATCTAAATTTTACAACTGTGAAGTAGATTGTGCTGCAGTAGGGAGACTAGAATGTGAAAACTCTCTGGAGATTGTTCTTTGAATGAAACATTTTAGCTGAATATATAGTAGATAGGGGAATTTATTATAATAGAGTATACAGTAGTGCCCCGCATAGTGACGATAATCCGTTAAAAAAAATCGTCGCTATACGGATTCGTCGCTATGCGGGGCAAAGAAGCCCATAGGAACGCATTGAAACCCCTTCAATGCGTTCCTATGAGCAAAAAACTCACAGTTCTGCAGAAATCCTCCATGCGGCCGCCATTTTCACTGCCCTGTATGTGAGGAAAGGGTGTGAAAACACTGCGGGCGGCCATTTTTTCCGGTGGCCATTTTGGAACCGCCAATCAGCTGTTTTTAAAACATCGTTATGCGATAATCGGTAAGTGAAATGCTTACCGATCATCGCAAAGCGATATTTTCCCATTGAGGCAAAAGCCTCATTGCTATGCGGATTCGTCATTAAACGAATTGCTCGTTATGCGGGGCACCACTGTATTTCAAAACATTTCTTTGTCTAATGTAAGCAACGAATACACCAGTACATGAGATGGGGTTGGATCTTCTCCTTGCTCCAGTCATCTGTTCTGCTGCCACCACAGGGTAAAACTGGAAAGGAAAATCAGGTTCATTTCTTACTTGACCCATGGTAGTTGTGAGCTGGATGACAAACAATCTTTTCCCACCCCAAACCCTGGAGCTCTTCCATTGTAGATACTGGATATTTTATGGGAGTGGAGTAGAATCAAATAAAGATATTTCCTTCCTTATCTTTTAGCTGTAGTCCAGGAACCAGTTTTTGCATGTTTTATAGTATTTAACCATACAAGATATATAAAGGCCAAAGTCCTCTTGCAAGTTACATCAATCAGTGTAACTGGGATAGTGTAACATGTACAGTATAGACAAATTGCCTCAATTTGAGAAATCATTGTGGAGCATTGAGCAGTGCAGTGCATTATCCAACAGAAAATGGCTGGAGTCATGGGTTCTTTTTTAATGCAGACAGAAGGCAAATTGCATAATATTCATGCAGTTACAACCAGCAATTAAAGGAGTCCCTGCTGGGATTGTCGAGGACATGTACCCCAAGAATTGTAGTGGTACTCTTTAATTTCCAGGTGGAAACTATAGTTGTGCCTTTTATTTTTTTGTGTACATACTGTGTTTTCCCGAAAATAAGACAGGGGCTTATATTAATTTTTGCTCCAAAAATGTACTAGGGCTTATTTTCAGGGGATATATTTTTTTATGTAAAACCACCTACATTTATTCAAATACAGTAATGTCATCTTCTTATGGTTGCTGCACAATGGTGGAGGGCAGGGTTTCACTTAACTGGGGCTTATTTTTGGAGTAGGGCTTATATTACGAGCATCCTGAAAAATCATACTAGGGTTTATTTTCAGGTTATGTCTTATTTTCAGGGAAACAGGGTATTTGTGCAACAGAATTTTAGCCAATGTCTACAGTGATTTCTTAACTTGAGGCAATATACCTCAAGAAGTTATGCCATTAGTGTTATGCCAGCATAACTGTGCAAGAGGATTGTAGCCAGAGATTCAGATTTTTTTTAAAGAGGTGTCTGGAGTATATCTTATTTCTACAGGACAGTGTATAAAAATAAGAATCCTTGTTCCTCTGTGATACTAATGAGTTTTCTTCCTCTCTTTTATTACAATTTGAAATGGGTAAAATTTTATTTATTGAAAGCATTTTACGTGCTTATTAAAATAGACACTTATTCTGCTTTGATACATATTGTGTTAATTAAAAGTGCCTTGATTGTAAAGGATAGTGCTAATAGTTCACCTGCTAAAATGTGTAATTCATTCCTGTTGAATAGATCAGGACTGTGTCCTTAGAACACTTGATGCACTGATTTTCCCAATATACAGTTGGCTCCATTTTGCTCACATTTTAGAAAGAGAGTGAACAAACCAACTGCCATGTGTATCTTCTTACAGTAGCCTTCAAATTTTATTGGTGTGTTTTTCTAGGTTTCAGTGTACACTGTTCCACATAAGATCAACCAAGCTGATTATGCTTTGGATGCAGCAGTGAAGCTCCTAGATTTCTATGAAGAATATTTTAGCATTCCATATCCTTTGCCCAAACAAGGTTTGTATTGTTCAGAGATACCTTATGAAAAATACAGTAAATGCATTGATCAAATCATTTAATTAGTCAATTAAAAAATTCCATGAAAGTCACACCGGAGAATTTATTTCTCGTTGATCTAAGTGGCCACACAGTCAGAATAGGAAAAGCCTTCTACTGTAATTGCAATTCTATTTGCACTTCTAATGAAACTCCTGTAGGTGGCACAGTTCAAAGGAACTGCCTTAAGAAGGCTTTTCCTTCCTCAGTTGCCCATTTCGTCATATTTCCTGTTAAACTGTAAAATAAATAAACAAGCAGGAGCTTTGCATGCCCAAGGGAAGCTGTAAAAAAGAAGCGTCTTGGAAGGAGAGGCTTTGCCAAGAAAGATGCATGATGGCCGTGCTTGTGTGTATGTTTGTGTGCTCACACTTGCCTCATCCTGTTGATGACCCTGCTTTGTGTATATGTGTGTGAGTGTGCTCAGTTGATCTTTCCTATCTGCATTTGTGCGAGCAATTACACATTTTGGACCAAAGTGAAAACATTTGACTTTTTTTTAAAAATAGAAGGGCATCTGGTGGGGAAGAGAAACTGGATTGGGCATGTGGGAGTCCAAGCTGATTCACATTACATTGATCACTTCACATGTTGTGTCCAATGATCAACCGGGGGGGGGGGAGTGAATTAGCCAACCCCAAAACCATAATATTAACTGCATTTTTCCTGTGTTGTCAGACTCTCGGTTACAAAGGAGAAAAAAAGCTACTGCTTTAAATATATTTGTGCAAGTACAACATAGCTTCTGTCCTAGTGTCCTAGTATATATTAAGATATTCTTACAAGACAAAGAATGTGCTTTTCCCCATGCAGGGAGTTCTCTGAATACACAGCCATGTGATTACTCTGTCAATGTCAGATAATCACTTTATATCTCAACTTCTACCCATAAATATTTGAGTGTTAGTAGTGCACACACTGCATGTTTCTCTAGTGTGTCCTTATAAGATCATTAATACTCTTATATTTTCAGTTAGAAATAAGGTAGAGAGACCAGATTTTAAAAGTAACACATTACATGTAATTTGTTCCAATGTCCAGTTAATAGGAATATTTTTCTGTAATAAAACAAATAAGCCAAAACCCCTCTTTGTTCCTTTTTTCTGTAATTGTGACATGAATTTCCATATTAAGTGTTTTCAAGTTGTGACTTAAGTTAATAGGAAAAGGAAAGGCTGATGGATCCCTGATTACCTGGCTCATTTGTTGCTGCAGCCTGTACTGGCTCCCTGGGAACTAAGCTCAAGAGATGGAGGAAGAGCAGGACAGAAGATGATGGAACATATGGCCTGCAGTCTCTTAGAAGGGAGAACTGTGCTCAGTGAACCATTTCAGTTTTCAAGGGTTGAATTCACAAGTTAGCTTTGCTGCTGCTAGCTGTAACAGTCGCAACTGTAGATTTTTTATAATACGCCTTTGTTACCTAACATTGTGCTCTTTTGTTTTGGTGATCTTTCTTTCACAGTTTCAAAAGCAGAGGTTGCTTATGCTTTTATTTTATTTTATTTTATTGCTTCCTTTCCTTTCTTTCTTTGAAAACCCTGCATACAGTAAGTTCAGTTTTACACAAAAAAGGCCTCCATAGGCTTAAACAAAGGAAAGCTGTATTGTACTTTTAAGAAGGAAACTAGATAAGGAGCTCAATGCATTAAAACAAACTTTTTTGAGTTGATCATTCACAGGACCCAGAACCACAGCCAGAAATCCTATGTATCTAAATATGGATATCTATTGTGCTGCTTTCAGTTTGATTTGCTTTAGGGTTTGCATACTTATCCACAAGTTGGTGAAACTATTTATATGTAGCTGTATACAGCTAACATTACCACAATAGCAAAAATATTTACCGTATATGCCGGCGTACAAGATGAGTTTTGGGGCCCCCAAAACATGCCTCCAAGTGGGCACCAGGAAGGAGCCGCCGCCACCGCGAGAGTGATGCGGGGCCGCGCTGGCCGGGGAGGAAGGCAGGCTGCGAGGCAGGCAGGCGAAGGGAGGGAAGCCGCGCGCTCGTGCGTCCGCCCCCCACTTTCCCTCTTCCTCCTCCTGCTCCACTTTCCCTCTTCCTTCTGATGCCGCCGGGGAGGAAGGCAGGTGGCGAGGCAGGGGAGCGAAGGGAGGGAAGACACGCGCTCGCACGTCCGCCCCCCCACTTTTCCTCCTCCTCCTGCCGCCGCCCCCCCAAGCCTCTTCCCGGCACAGCATTTGGGGGGGTCGTCTAATACGGCCCCGTCGCCTAGTACGGCGGCATATACGGTATTCTTCATTAATGGCCTGAGGACCACTTTTCAGAAGAGTTGAGAAGTTACATCCGTAGCTCTTGTCCCGTAGCTCTTGTGAACGTTTAGCTACTTCAGTAACACTTCTTTTTAGTTTGGTGGGAAAGAGTGTGTGTGTATGCGCATACATGTTTGCTTTCAGGATAACTGTGGTGAATAAACAAATGGAATAAACAGAGAAGAATGATAATTTACTCAGAATATTTACTTGCAGACTTGGCAGCTATTCCTGATTTTCAGTCTGGTGCAATGGAGAACTGGGGATTGACTACATACAGGGAATCTGCTTTGTTATATGACCCAGAGAAGTCCTCTGCATCAAGTAGACTTGGAATTACCTTAGTTGTAGCCCATGAACTTGCTCACCAGGTAAGTTACAAGTGGCATTTATAGCATGAAATAGCAGGGGGCAAGATGAGTATGGTATACATTTTGTGCTCCACAAAGAGATAAGATGCTATGAGTCAATTACATCCGCTTTCCAGCACCTGTTAAAGTCTGTTCTTCAAACTAGTGTTTTCTGACAGACTGTGATGATTAGTTTGAGAATTGTGTATTAAGTCCCTAATTTTATATGTTTGGATTGTTGCTCAGATGGATGTTTTATGCTCTGTTTCTTTTTAAGAAAATGTTTCTATTTTTACTTATGATGTATTAGCCAATGTTTTCTTGTGGAATTCTGTATATGCAGCAGAATTGATGTCACTGAGAGCAAGAGACTCTTGTGAATTAAGGAATTCCTTTAACTCAGCTTCATCTCATTGTATGGGAATCATGTGTACTCTACAGTCTAAAGAACTCTTCTGTTCTCCTGCAGTCTGGTGCTGGGGATATAATTTCCATTTAGCAGGGGGAACTCCACAGGAGGAGGGTATTAGCCACTAGTTTAAAATAATGGTCAGAATCCTATTAGAGATTTACCACAGTGTTAGTGTAATTGCATGAATTGCTTAAAATTCACTGGCAAATTGCTGCCGATTAATGAGTTGTCACTTGCATTTTCAGTCAGGTGCAGTCATGCAACTCATGACCAGGAATGAATGGGAACTCATTAATTTGCAGCAATTTTCCACTTTGGTTAACCCAGTTACACATATGTTGGTATACATCTCCAATGAGCTTCTGGTCATTTTAGACACATACTGGTTAAATAAATACTAATAGTGATAATACCATGATGCAGAATTGTGTTCTCTAAAAATTGGTGTGTAATGTTGGGATGTGTTTCTTCATCATTATTATGGGGGAATTTTTCAACATGATGTTATCTGCATTTGCCAGTACAGGTGTTATCTGCCTTGAACAGCTCTGTGTAAATCAGAAAAAGCATGGCTTTCCTACCTCCCACGTCACATGCAGCTTTTCGTATGTCTGTCTACTCTTTGGAGCTTTTAGAGAGAGGAGGAGATCTTTGAATTTGACAGTGAAGAAGTTACTATGTCAAATTATTATTTTAAATTCTGTGGAATGGTAGCCATGTTAAAATCCCATCATTTTCAACAGTACCAAGAAGTACATGCTGAAATATGCCTCTCCCTGCCAACACTTCTTTGATACACAGCTTAGCACAGTGAGGGGGTTTGAGTGTGTAATGGAACCAGAGAGCAATACTGTCAGGAAATTAGACTCCATTATGAATCTGGACTCCTAGCAGGCCTTCCCAAAATGGAATAGCCAAAACTGAAATATCAAAATTAACATGCGTCCATCCACTTCTGGAATTAATAGTTACATCAGCAGAAAATAATTAATAGTCCCAGTGATGAATGGGTCAGGAAAACCTGAAAGGTAACTACTGGACAATTGCACTCATTTCACACGCTAGCAAGGTTATGCTCAAAATCCTACAAGGTAGGCTTCAGCAATATGTGGACCGAGAACTCCCAGAAGTACAAGCGGGATTCCGAAGGGGCAGAGGAACTCGAGACCAAATTGCTAACATGCACTGGATTATGGAGAAAGCCAGAGAGTTCCAGAAAAATATCTACTTCTGCTTCATTGACTATGCAAAAGCCTTTGACTGTGTGGACCACAGCAAACTATGGCAAGTCCTTAAAGAAATGGGAGT